ATGATCAGAATCCTACTATAAGACTTGCTCAAGTATTGTGGTTTAGACAGTGGTGTACAATATACCATGTCATATAGACTAGGAAGAAATTAAATGTATAAATGTCACAACAACTTACGTTATCACATTATGTTGGTAGGGGGGCTTACAATGAGCATTTTAGAAAAAGAGTGGTAGCTAAATTTGATTATGAAACTTACATCGGTGCTCTCAGAAGTGACCAGGACCAGAAAGAGAACAGCAGCCTTTAGTGGGAGCCAAGCAAATTTCATTTTCCCAATCTGTGAATGTGGATGTTAGGTGTATGTTATCACTGGAATATTATGAAATGCTAACATTCAATATGATAATCAAGAGGATGCTGAAACTATGCCTTACCCATGGTTTGTTCATGGCAAATTGTGGCCCAAAAGGTATCAGAATCCTCATTGCCAAACCTAGTCACATCACTGGAAACAGAATGGACTATGAGAAATGTGAACTATGTTAATATTTATTGCATTTTGTCTCACCTGTTTTCCAAAGAGCTCAAGGCAGCTTACACTGTCTTGTGTCCTCTGCTCATGCATCTTTACAACAATCCTTCAAGGAAGATTAGGCTGAAAGTGATTGGCCCAAGGTTAAGCTTCATAAATTTCCCCCCTTGTTTAGACTTATCCCACACTGTAACAAAACAGCTGCCTAACATCAAGTTAGCATACAGAAGACAGTTTCATCAAGCGTTGTGACAACATACACCGCCGTGATCCACTGAAGTACTGTATATACACAGAATAGTAAGTGCAAGCTGGAATTTTTCAGCCAGCTCCCAACATAACATTCCAAACTGTTGTTTACTTACTAAATTGGGAGAGTTTAGAGCTTCAGGTGAGAAACTGCTAGAAAGAAAACTGTGTTCAGAACTCCTGTGCACACTTGTATCTGGCATGTGTACATCTCTACCTGGCAGTTCATAATTATGGCTTGAATTAGTGTACTGTTTTTTATTTATTTGTCAAATTTATATCCTGCTCCCTCTCCCCTGAATGGGACTTGAGGTAGTTTTGAGCACATAAACCTGCTAACTTTCAGATACCATGAGGTATAAACCTAATACAGTTCTTTATGTAACTGATCTCTTGGGAAGCACATAAAGATTCTTCTGTACAATATTTTGGAGGAAGTAAGCCAACCATTTTGTAACACACATGAATGTAGCTCTCAGCCTTAATCTGGAGCATCAGTTGTGCTGTGGGGGGACACAGGGCAATTGGGAACCCTGCATGACCCCTGGGGGTGGGGTGCATAACAACCATTCTTGTGTTTGACACACTGACCATGCCCCCAGGGGACTGGGGATGGGTCGGTAGAGTAGCTTCTGCTGTTTCCAGCCCTAATACCTGCAATCTTCCCTTGGTTACCCCAACAGGCAGGTTGGGTAGTGCTTCTGACAGCAGTCAGGCAGTCAGCTACACCCATTGTATGCCGCCTGTGCTGCGCCAAGACCTGAGGAACCTGTAATCAATAAAGTCATGGTCTGCTTCTCCCCAGCACAGTGTGTCTATGTTGTCTATCTCCCCTACTTCTATGGGCTGGTCCCCACTCCAGGCACAATTAATATGCCAAACAGGAAAGTTTTAGTGAACAACAGCTTACTATGTCTTTCCAAGAAACCCAGTACATTTTTGTGAAGGGAAATAAATTTTTTGAAAGCTATGTTAAATAATGTTTTTAATTAACTCAAGCAAAAAAAAAGTGAAAAGTGTAGCAAAACGTAACATCAATAGTGGCAAGTCTACAGATAAGTATCTATAAAAGGTTCCAAGTATCTAAAAAGTACCCATGCGGCAGATGGTCAAAATAGGTGAAACCATATCAACCATTAAAATTAATGGGTGGCAAATTATTTCATGCTGCATGGCTAGGGATTAAAAGTTTACTAACTATATCCATAAAGGCTCAAGTACATATTGGTACTAGTCACTGGTGCAGGACCAGAGGCTCCATATAGGGTAAGCAATAGAGGATTTGTCCCTTTCCTTGTTTAATACTGTATATGATATTCCTCAGAAGGACCTCACTGGATTATAAATAACTGGATAGTTTATATCCAAACTGTGCATTCCAAAGCCACATGTGACCTTCACTTTGGGGGGGGAAGTATATATGAAAAGTAGCTACAACAAATTTACTGCTCACTCTCCACCTACATGTATGGTCTGGTAATTTCCATTTTTGTTTCTGTCTCAGTCTTGATTCCTACTGGACCTTCCTGGCAACTAAATCCCCACCTACCCACCCTCTCCCTATATGTAGTGGTTGAGGAAATTCTGTTTCGCTGTATCTGAAGTAGTGTGCTTGCACATGAAAGCTTATACCTTGAATAAGACTTTGTTGGTCTTAAAGGTTCCGCTGGACTCAAAGTTCGTTCTCCTGCTTCAGACCAACACGACTACCCACCTGAGTCTATCTTAAAGATATCATTATTTTGCAGTTTAATTTCCATTATATGCAAGAGCAAACCTTTCAACCTTGCTAAGAAACTTATCCCCACCCTCATGGAAATATGAAATGGCACCACTGATCAGTATCACTGTGTACTATTACACAAGACATGGGCATACATCATCGCAGTGATGAGATTTGCATAACTTCATTGGTAGACAACTTTATCAGTCTCACAAGGGTAAAGGGGAAAAGACAGCAAATTGTGTAATAGATACATTGGGTCATAGCCAAATTCAAAAATAGGTTTCGGTAAACTTTATTTGTTGAAGCAGTTCTCAGTCTCATCTTAATCTTTATATTAAAAAGTACAGATGAATCATTATGGATTTCAGACGTTCCATTTTCAGTTCTACATTAGTTAAAAATAATGAAAAGTACAATTGACAGGATTGAGCTGAAGGAAACATCTGAAAAATACAGGTTTTCCAAAGATCCAAATATGGTTTCTCACATGGTATAAATCGTTCACGGCTTTTCCAAGATTCATAAACATTTTCAAACACAGATAAAAATTTATCTAGGATATTGGTTATGAAAAAGATGTTTCATTACATACATGAAAATTGTTCTGCCACTACTTTACAAAATATCTTACCTTCTTGGTTTTTCTCTGGAACATCATATTCATGTTTGCATGTTTTCCTCTGGATGACAAGGAAGGAAGAAATGGTACAAAGTTACTTGTGCTTAGCTTCAACCTTTGTACCCAATTAGCAAGCAAACGGTTTAAAATAAAAAAAACCACCTCGAGACAGTTTAGCAAAAGATTGACTAGGTCAAGCAATTTTTTTTTATGTTCATGTAGGATTTAATAGGCCCTGTAGCCAATCAGGAAGTGTTAGAATACAGCTCGGCTACATGTTCATGTCATGGAAAGAAGTAATGAACAAGTAAATCTGCTGTAAACAGTGTTCCCTCTAAGCTGAGTTAGTGTGAGCTAGCTCACAGTTTTCTACCCTCCAGCTCACACATTTTTGTCTTAACTCAGGAAGGATGGCGCCAGAGCAAACTAATTTATGCAGTAGCCAAATCACCTGCTCACAACTTTAATGCCAGTAGCTCACAAAGTAGAACTTTTGCTCACAGGACTCCACAGCTTAGAGGAAGCATTGTAAAGAGTTTTCAGTAGAGAAAGTTTTATCGGCTTCAGAGTCAAGGATAGTCAGTCATTTGCTACTTAGGTGGGACTGTATTTACCACAGAGGGGAAAGTATCAGTCAGTCATCTGCTACTTAGGTGTATTTACCACAGAGGGGAAAGTATCAGTCTTTGTTTATGTGTGTATCTGTGCATACACAAGCACACAGAAAGTACATGTTAAAAGTAACCATTTAAAAGCCTTTACACTTAAAATGTTGGGCAGGGGGTGTAGATTTTTTTTTAAAAATCCTTAAAACTTTGAAATGCTAGCATGGATTCAACCATAGAAAAAGGAGCCTGACTCCACCCTCAGGCTTAAGGCTTGAGAGCCAGTTTGGTGTAGTGATTAAGTATGCGGACTCTAATCTGGGAGAACCGGGTTTGATTCCCCACTCCTCCAGTTGCACCTGGCTGGATGACCTTGGGCAAGCCGTAGTTCTGATAAGAGCTGTTCTTGAAAAAGAGCAGTTTCTGTCAAGAGCTCTCTCAGCCCCACCTACCTCACAGGGTGTCTGTTGTGGGGAGGGGAAGGGAAAGGAGTTTGTAAGCTGCTCTGAAACTCCTTTGGTAGTGAAGGGCGGGGTATAAATCCAATCTCTTCTTCTTGGTAGGTTGTGGGAGGGCTTCAGACTCTGGTTTGGTTTGATTGCCTGATGAACCATGCCATCCTAAACTGAGTTACACCCTGCTAAGCCCTTTGATGGTAGTGAATGTAGAAGGGGGTAACTCAGCTTAGGCTGGCACTATGAGATGCTTTTGGTTTCAGTCAGCACATCCAGGTTCTTTATACAATTTTCCTGTAGAAGCAAAGGAGATTGCGACTACTTCCTTGTTCTTCTTATCCAAAAGTCTTGAAATTGTTGATGATGTTGAGAAGATGCGTGGCAGGGCTGGTGACAGGAACTGAACATGGGGCCACTCTGTCCCAGTAGCAGCTATCAAAACTGTTGGTGACTGCCGTCAGCCAAAGGCTACTGTATAAATAGGGACTGATTGACGGGCTCCCATGTGAACTAGCTTTAAAGTGAGTGAAAATCTGAACAGGCTGTACGGATTGAACAGATGTTACAATACAAGAAGATGGCTGCTGTCCTAAGGATACTTTCCTGTGTATATGCCCCACTGAATAAAATGAGACTTAATTCCGAGTAAACCTGTTTAGAACTGCTCGAAATATTTTTGATCCATTTAATCCTTTATATGGCAGTAGTCTTGAGTCCGTTTGTGTGTTTGCATTTTTGCGTTCTTAAATATCCATGTTATTGATTTGTTTTGCTTTAACCAGTTTTAACTGTCCTTTGGTATGAAGGTTTTCTTGCCACAATTAATGAGAAAAAAATGAAAAAATATATAAAATGCCTACATTCATGCAGCAAAGAAAAGTTAATCCAGGCTGTGGAAGATGACATCCAGCAGGAAAAAGAGGCAGCAGAAGACATCATCAAAAATATGGCTGACGAGGATCAAGTTAAATACATGGAGATGAAAGTGGCCAATGAAAAATTCTTGCAGGTGATCTTCCGTATTAAACTGAATTGTTGATTCATCCCACCGTACTTTAAGAACTGATTAAACTAAAAGGAGCCTTTTGGGTAGTGTAAACCTGATCTTCCACCAATAAAACAAGAAAGTGGACAGTACTATGGACCCCACCCTGCCAGTTTTCAGTCCCTTTGGTTTCAGAGGGAGAGTTTAGTAAATGATTAACTCTCTCCTATAGAAAATAATACTTTTTTTTAACTGTTTGGACTGTTGCCAGTGCTACATTTATCAATCATAAAATGCTTTGATGTAAATCAAAAGATACTACTCCGTGACCAGATAACTTTCAGTTCTTGAAACAATGGGAACACTGATTTCCTCCATCCTCATCTCCTAAGAGTTCCCCAACCTTCTGGAACCAGATAAGGAGGTTAGTGATACACATACGACTTGTACAAAGTGAAATACCTTTCACATTCAAACCCAGTATTTTAGCCACTGCACAAAATGGTCTTACTCCCCATACTGTACTTGATTTCCATTTCTTCTTTAAAGCAGAGGACTTAAAGTAGATTATTCTATTTTTCTGATTACTTAAAGAGGAGTAACTTTCATTTAGTCAGGAAGCTTCAGTATCATACACAAAATAGGAACCCTGTGGGGCACATCTCACCTTTTCTGTATGTTGAATATCATGGTTTCTGTGGGTGAGCTGCATAGAAATCATCTAGCCTCTGGAACGTTTTATTAACTATACATTTTGATTTTATTTTCCTGTCCTAGGAATTATATGCTTTACAGCAAGAGTTGGATGCAGTGGATATAAAAGAACAAGCCCTGGAAGCTGTACGTATGAATATATGAAGCTGCCTGCAAGGACTTAAAGTTTTACGTGTGTGTTTCTTTAAATGTTTAGTAAGTTGCGGAAGAACAAGGGGGACGAAAGAAGGGGATGAGTGAGTGAGGTGATTGGTTCATGACTGAGAGTGTATGGGCGGGGATTATAAGTGTGTGTGTAGAGAAAGTCAGTCAATGCGTTTAGTCAGCAGTTAACAGTCAGTTGTCTACAGAGTCTGAGAAGCAATCTTCTGATTAGGATCCCATATTAGTGCTGTGAAAAGCATTAAGTTTCTAAAAGCGAAAGTAGAATACTTACAGAGGGCATATTAGCGACTAGAGAGAGTCAGTACCTAATATTGTCAGAGTATTATAAGTGTGTGAGAGTGAAGCTGACAGAACCTGAGTTAAGAAGTGAAAGATTAAACTGACCTAAATAAAATAAAGACTGGACAAAGTACATTCTGAAGAGAAAGGAGGATTTGAGAGTGAGGAGTGTTTGTGAAGTGAAAGAGTGAGAGTGTGATACCTCAGTCAGAAGTTATTAATATACACTGTTTTATTCACTCAAGCGATAAGTTACAACACATCTTGAAACTAGTATGCTGCTTGTAAAAATAAAGTTTTATTTTGTTTTATGAAAACCTTGAATTATATGCTATCACAATACAACAGTCTCATCTTTAGGACCACATAGTCCAACAAAGGAGCCTTAGAGCTTGGGTACAATACTAAGGGACAAGTTGAATAATAAGATTTGGAATTAAATTTCTTGTGGCAGCTTTACATACCCAGAGAGAGAGAAACAACAAGAATGTTAAAAACACACCATATCTAACTACACGATTAAAAGAGTGTAGTCGCGACACTGCCCAACTCTGACCACTGGTTCATCCAGGGGTCATTTCCTGCAGGAGCGCACAGGAGCGGAGCTCCGGCAGTAAAGAGACAAGGGGGCGGGCAAATGCAACAAGCCCCACCCCCTGCTCCCAGCAGCCCTCAGTCAGAGCAAGACGTTGCAGAGCTCCCCACTGGCCCCCCAGTCCAAAACAGTCCAGTGGCACCTTTAAGACCAAGTTTTATTCAGGTACAAGCTCTCCCTCCTCTGTGAGGATACATCTTCACGTTTCCCCCCCCACTCACTGTTTCCCCCCCCCCCCATAGCTAGGGATCCAAAACAGTCTAGTGGAACCTGAGCGGTTGGTGCTGCCTTCTGACACACTTCCAGTGATGTCAGGGGGTGTGGCATATGCAAATAAGCAATGCTAATGAGTTTTGCTAATGAGTTCCTGCACCTCTTTTTCTACGAAATGACCCCTGGGTTCATCTAACTGTTGTCTACAATGACTGGCAGCAGTTCTCCAGAGTATGAGCAGATAGAAGTATTTTGCTGAGTTCAGACATAATGTGGAAAGCATGGTTTATTTTAACTGTGACTGCTTTGTAAAAAATAACATGGGATTTGTCTCACATTCTGGTTTGCCTCAGCCAGTGCTGGTTATATTGTAGGGTTCCCAAACGGCGGCGGGGGATCCGCGCGTGTTCGCAGGATCGCTGCCGCGGGCTAGCTCTTTTCCAGATCTGCCTTCCCAACACCATCCTCCTTGGCCACCATGTCTCCTTACAGCTAGGATTTTTGAGGTGTGCATAGAAGGGTGCAGTAGCAGTGGTAACAAACTGGAAAGGGGAAGCTGAGTCAGTGAGAGTGGTTCACTAGGCCTAATATAGATCAGTTGGTCAAGGAAGGGGAGCTTAGTACCTTTTGAATCCCTGTATTTCCCCTGCCCCAGTCCCCCAACAGTGGCCCTCTAGCCCCTCTTCTTGTCCACCGGGGCTTATTCATGTTTGTTTTTCTTAATCAGCAACAAAGAGGAATATAATGATCTGTGCAACAAGTTCATATAGATTGTTTTAAATCACTGCTTGTATTGCTTAGATGCCAAACTTGTATGTTCTTGTGTGACCGTAGAAATTGCATTTGCCAATGACTGTTTCCTTCTGCAGGAAATAGCACACTCCCAGGTTAAGCAGGAGGCACTGCAGCTATATGAAAAGCTTCATCGTCTTGAAGAACATCGGGATCAAATGATTGCTGAGGACCAAAGTATGGGATCCCCCCAGGAGGAGAGAGAGAGATTACTCAAACAGGTAGAGAAACTATCGCTACTCTGTTTCATGAATTTCCATGCACGCTTTTATAGCATGGTTAACAAATGAAAATATAGGTCCATGTCCTTGATTCTGAACAGAGCAGAGCAAAAGGAATGATATTAATGCCTGAGGTAAACCTGGTGGTCCCCACTTCTCTTCCTGTTTTTGTCTTTAATTCCAGTGGTTTGTGTCATGGCGCAAGGCAGCATACGAAGATAAAGAGAGGAGGGTGGGCAGTTTGTATTTTTAAAGTACAAATTTCAAATGCCAAATTAAGGGTTTATTGATTGATTTAAAACAATTCTTTCCCACCCTGTCTTCTTGGACGCAAGGCAGGTGTGCTTTAATATGGTTGTTTGAGTAGGTGTTTCTGGAGCAGAGACTTCTGAATGGTACCCTCATGTTGGGAAGCCAGAAGGGCAGGTTTTGTGGGGGAAAGTAATAGGCAGGTGGAATGAGAAGTATAGAGTAGGTGGAGCTATTTTAGCCCAAGTGCCTGCCTCTGAAGTCGCCAGGGTGCCAGCAGGAGGTTAGGACTGGACTTTGGTGGACACCCTGGGAGTAACCTGAGTCCCAGTGGCACTGCCACTGCTTCAGGGGTTTGCCAAACAGTGCCAAACAGACTAGTGATACAAAATTTCCAGGGTCAGCATAACTGGAGAGGTGAATGTAGAGGCAGGGAAGCCTGGATGACTAAGGAGGCAGAGAGAAGGAAGACCAGACAAGTAGGCGGAGAGAAGGAAGAACAGGTGGACAAGTGGCAGGAGGAGCAGGAAAGCCTGTGTTAGTAGTGGGGGGTTCCTTTGCATTGCACGTCTCTCTCTTTTATATCTTGTAAATGATATCAATCAAATCTGTGTTTAAGTGTTGAGTCTCCATTCTTGACAAAACTGAATAAATGTGTTAGCTTACTTTACAGGTTTGTGTTAGCTAGCACTCCTTTAGCACCCCCTTTATTTAACACGTTGCTGTTTCTCTCTTTTTTAAGGTTAAAGAAGACAATCAAGAAATAGCAAGCATGGAGAGACAGTGAGTGTTTCTGCATATTGTTCTCTTAGGCCCTTGCGCCGCAGATTGATCTAAATCTGAATGCCGTTCATAGCCTCTCTATGCAAGTTGCAAAAATCTTGCTTGTATAATAATATAAATTACAGGTTACAGCATCAGTTAAACTCTATGTACAGCACAATGGCTTTTAGGCAAAATATCAGGCATAACCAAGTGCTAAAATATTAAGATTAAAATAGTGCAATGTATTATATCTATTAAAAGTACAAATAAAATTTAGACAAGGCCCTAAAGAACCACAAAATGGAGCTCCAGTCAGAGCCTAAAGGACAAAGAGCTGTGAAGAATTAAGATACTTAACAATAGCTCAGTTTTTTACAGCCACTGAGATGTATTTAATGCCAGTAAGAGTAAGATTCCTGTAATTACCTGATTTAATAGATGATAGTCATAAGAGCAATTTGGGAAAACAGTAATAAAGGGAATGATCAGAGAAGCTCTTCATATTTGCATAGATCTTACAGACCAAAAAAATGTGCTATGGTTTCTGGCAACTGAAGGCCACAAGGTGTTAAAGGATGAGACTGATATTTTGCTTTATGAGCTATATTTGCTGCTACACCCATACAATGGACTGTGCACACATACACACATAGGCTCAGAAAACTGTACAAATCACCTGTTGTGATACTACACATAGAAGGTGCCTGCACAAAGCCTTACATGTTAATAAGGTTTCAGTTACACAGCCAGCCTGGTGAGGAAGCACAAATCTCCATTGTCCGCAAAAGAACAACCTAAGGAGAAACAGCCACCATTGTTGAACTGTCTGCTGTCACGTATGCTGCATCTCTGCTTTATATCTGAATTGGCATTTCCTGCCAGATGGACCTTTTATGACCAGCGGAATAGCCAGCTTCATCTGCACTTCAAGGAGGTTCCTTGACACCAAGCTTTCACACTTGCCCAGATGCCATCCTTTGAGTTAGATCTAAAGTTACAATATTGCCCAACCCTCTAGGTTGCCACCCCTCACTACACGCAACCAATAGGAGTAGTCTTGGGACGGACTAACAGGTAGGTGGGTCTACAGGTTGGCACAGTTGCCACCCACCCAAAGAACCACCTTTAAAAGTTAAGGACCAGTCACCTGGCCCTTGCTAGCCGCAATCCCGACAACACCCCCTATCTGCTTTAACTCCTCTTTTGTCCAGCTTGCTGTACCCAAACCCTTGCCTCAACTTGATCTCTTGAACTGCAGTCAAGAGACCCACACGTGCTGGCTGGTTCTAGCTGTGTGTTAACTTCCCTAGATTTCTATTCCTCCCCATCCATTCTTCATTGGAGCGAACAAAGCTTCAGGACAGATAAGTATCACCCCTCATCACCCTACCTGCCAATGCAAACGTGCTTAAGTTTTACTACTGTATTTCTAAGGAACTTGATTGAATGTGTGCGTGTATCAGTTATTGTTTGTGTGTGATTTATATTCTTAAGTAAAAGACAGTTATTTTGAACAACACCAGCCTCGACTCCTTTTACTGGTAACCCTTGGTGGGAACTGGACCTTGGTAGACACTGGCAAGAACCCATCTAAAATTTGCCAATTGCTGTAGATAAAGCAATTCGGCTAACAAAGGGCAGATCCCCAGAATGCGCAGGATGTCAGAGAATCTGCCATGTAACTAATCACTAATATGTGTTAATAAGTTTGCATGAAGAAGTAGAGTTTTGGAATGCCTGATTAAACATTTTTAGTGTATGGTATGTTCAGTGCAATTGGTATTAGGGTATGTGACTTGTAGTGTTATTAAAATGCCAGTAGCCAAAATATTACCAATGTTACCAAAATGGGCCATACCCAATCCACTTTTCCCACAGCTTGCTCCAGCCTGCAGGACCACTGTGTGACAATTCGTCTCATTCCAGGGAAGGGAGGGATCTTAGGAAAGGAAAAAACATGGCTCACTGAATGAGTTCTGAAAACTGAGCATCTGCCTCATTCCAGTGTGAGAGGATAGTGAAGAAGTGAGGCTATGGAGGAGACACCCGTCCCTATGGAGGAGACACCTTTATTTTGTGTTCCATCTGGGTTACTTCGATTTAATGCCATGCTTGGTCTTCCCTGATCCTCTAGCACAGGACACATCAGCCCCTTTACTGTTATTTGATTGAAACAATGAAGCTTTCTTCTGTTGTAAGGCAAATCAGGAACCAGCAGGGGGACCCATATGGTAATACATGAAATGGGCAAGTTTCTCTCGAAAATTAAAAATGTACAGTTAATGCCCTGCGCAAAGTCAATTATGTATTGAATGCCAAAATACATTAAAATGTAGCTGTACTGTTACATTCATTAGAGCATATATCTTTGCTATTTTCCTCAAGTAACAGCTGTAGATATTTAATTTTCTCCATCAAGTTTTTGCATTGTTTTAGGCTAACAGATATCAAAGAAAAGATCAACCATCTTAATGAAGGAATACGGCAGCTTGACATGGATCTAGAGGAGCATCAAGGTAAATTAAACATAGGATTTTCAGAACTTCAGCATGGGATGGAACTATCTGGTTTAGAAATGGGTTACTGCTTTCTCCATCAGGATCATTCAGGACATATACAGAAGTGTATATGGCTGCACAGATGTGGGCGCACAAAAATAAACTGCTGGTAACAGGAAGATTTCTTCCCGTGTCATCTTATTTCAGTGTGTGAGCTAACAGTAAATGAAGATAAGTTATGGGGTTTCATGCTAGACACGACAGAGGATGGTATGTACTTTCTGCCCAAACAGGTCAATTCTTTACACAGAGCCCTTCCTGATAGAAGTTCAGATTCTGTAATAAGAATAAATTAACCCCACAGGCATGCTTATATTTGTTTGTGTAATGTGTATTTACTCCAAAAAAATCAATTATGTATTGAATGCCAAAATACGTTAAAATGTAGCTGTACTGTTACATCCATTAAAGCATATATCTTTGCTATTTCCCTCAAGTAAAAGCTGTAGATATTTAATTTTCTCCATCAAGTTTTTGCATTGTTTTAGGCTAACAGATATCAAAGAAAAGATCAACCATCTTAATGAAGGAATACGGCAGCTTGACATGGATCTAGAGGAGCATCAAGGTAAATTAAACATAGGATTTTCAGAACTTCAGCATGGGATGGAACTATCTGGTTTAGAAATGGGTTACTGCTTTCTCCATCAGGATCATTCAGGACATATACAGAAGTGTATATGGCTGCACAGATGTGGGCGCACAAAAATAAACTGCTGGTAACAGGAAGATTTCTTCCCGTGTCATCTTATTTCAGTGTGTGAGCTAACAGTAAATGAAGATAAGTTATGGGGTTTCATGCTAGACACGACAGAGGATGGTATGTACTTTCTGCCCAAATAGGTCGATTCTTTACACAGAGCCCTTCATGATAGAAGTTCAGATTCTGTAATAAGAATAAATTAACCCCACAGGCATGCTTATATTTGTTTGTGTAATGTGTATTTACTCCAAAAAACCATCCATGGAACAAAAAAATAGCTGCTAACATTGTTCTGCAAACACTTTCATAAAAGCTATTGTATAAAGTGCTGTTTCTCATTGGGCTCCATAATGTCATGTTTCTGCTTGCATGAGAGCTTGTACAAATAGAAAAATAATCTTCACATTTAGTTTCATTTTTCTCACACGATGGTCTAACAGTGCTCCTCAGTCCATGGAACAGCACAACTCTCCACGTGGTTTTTGGAGGTTCATGGGGTTTGTTGTGGGGAGCGAGATGCAAGCCATTTCAGCAACCCCTTTTACTCCCCTCCCCCTGCTTCCAAGTATTCCCTTTAAATGGCCAGTACTGCAAGAAAGTGAAGTCCAAGTGGTGAGTTCAACCAGAAGTGGTGAACTCGCTTCTTGGACTTCACTTGCAAACAGCACCCATTTGCAAAAGCCATGTTTTTGTTTGAATATTTGAATATTTTAAATTATTGAATTTTTATGGTTATAACTGTTATTATAATGTTTTGAATTATTTTGTTGTAAACCACCCCGAGCCCCACATAAGCGGGGAAGGGTGGTCAAGAAATCTAAATAAATAAATAAATTCCATTCTGCTGGCCTTGAGGAGCCCCCACCAGCAGAAAGGAGGGAGGGAAGATCTCCCCTCTTCTATTCTGCTGGCCCCAGGGAGCCACCCCCAGCAGAAAGGAGGGAACTTCATGAACCGAACTGGTTTGGTAAACAGGGAGGTTCATGAAGGTTCATGGTTCGTGTGACCTCATGAACCGCGAACCAGGACAAACCTCTATTTCCCCATTTCATGCCCATCCCTAGTCAGCACACTCAGGTAGATCGTGGAGCTCCACTTGGGGAGCAATAATATACAGAACTGTCATTTTTACTGCTTTTTGGAAAGACCTGCTGTTAGCATGTACGCACAGAGAGCAAGAGCATATTTTGCTCAATCTTGGCCAATTTCCCTCTGGGGATGTCATAACTCTGGCTGCTTCTCTTTCTCTCTCACAAGTTCATTAAACCTGACTGATATGTCACATCCTTGTAGCTCTAATAATCCCATGCTGCTGCTTAGCGGCAGCTAAGTCTTATGTTTGGAATGTTGGAGACTACTGCTCTAACGTTAGGTATAAAATAGCCCTTCCAGAGGTGGAAGACACCTTTCACCTTCTATTGTATCAGTAGGTTTTCAGTGGTTCATATGTATTTGCACTATGTGCTGGTAATTGTGCAAAAAGGTCCCCAAAAATAGATCAACCCTTTGAGAAACTGATTGGGAGGTTTGTGCATATGTGTTCAAGATCATCTGTGACGTGTGAATGTGTACTTGTCAATGCAGGCACAAGTCAACGCGCATCACCCTGTCCCATCTCTTTCATCACAAAGCCAGCCAATCAGAAAGGCCATTGTGCTGCTCTCTGCACATGGTGCTATTCATAGGATGTGTGTGTACAGCAACCAGAGGCTTTCCAGAGAAGAGGTTATTTGAGTCCCATGGAGACAAATTTCAGAATAGCATTAAACTTCATGAGCAAAACCCAAAAAAATGCTGGGGAGCTAATGATGCAGACTAAATGTACAAAGGAGGCATTGCCTAGGCATATTTCCAGTAATTATTTTTATAAGGCATTTCAACAGTGTTGATTTTTAAATTTGGTTTGGGGTGGGAGATGGCCATTATTTCTGGTAGCACTCCCCAGGACATAGGTTTGGTATTGCTGTCATGACTGTAATGGGTGCCTCCATTTTCAAATAACATCCAACAATTTATTATTTCGTTTTTACAATTTTCTTTCCATTTTGCTTTTGCAATATTTCCTTCTGTTATTTGGATGACTGTAGATGGTAAGAAATTGATTGCTTTACTATGTATAGCTTAGCAACAAGAACGTAGCTGCTTTCATATTAATCTTGTTTCTTTGTCTTTGGTAAAGCTTCTGTTCGTGATAAGAATGCTAATTATCTTTATACAATTCAATTTATTACGGGTCTATATGACCTGTGATAAGAATGCTAATTATCTTTATTTAACTAATCAGTTAAAGGAATCGGTACCTTCTACTTCTGAAAGAGTGCTTACGAGTGACACACAACTTTGTTATAAATCTGTAAGGCACTAAGAGTTTTTGTCACACACTTTGGGGGAAATGTTGTTTACTGAATTTGTTCAGAGGCAACTGCTGTTTGGTTACAGCCAATAATGTAGTTCTTCCATAATTCTTTTAAATACATCTTTCTTTTTAATAGATCAGAATGACTGTGTGTACACGCGGCTCCTCCTTTTCCTCCTCATCCCCGCCGCCCTCTGCCCTCACGGGGAGAGGAGGTTAAGCTGCGAGCGGCTTCTCCTCCATCTCCAGCATAGGCGGCTGCTCTGAGGCGACGCAGTGCAGAGGTGTGGGGCAGGTTGCTCCGGGCCTGAGCGGCCGCGGCTTCTC